GATGGCAAATGAAATATATTTCTTACAGTTAATTAAAGCTCAGGATTCCTTGCAATTAATATTTTGATTAAAAATCTGCATGTTCGACTGAACTGTTTAATTGGTATTTGTTAATTCAGTAATTGCCATCCATTTTAATGCCATTATTTACGCTCTGCTTACAAATTGCCTTTTGGCGTTCCTGATGATTTGTGTACAAACATTGTTATAAGGATGAAAGCCATACTATGTCTACCCTTCTTACGCATAAACTCTGTTATCAAACAATTTTCCTCCCATTAATCATTTTTTATGTTAGCATATTTATTAAGTAAATAGAATTATTAAGTAACAAATCACCGATACAGATTTATGTTTTAACCTTTATCTTATTATTTATTTTTGGCGTAAGGCAAAAAATTTTATTCTGGATTTTTATTTGTCTGTGGTTTATTATCATGATTTGTCTGTTGTTTATTATCATGTCAGATGCGTTACTTGATCTGAGGTTTTTCAAATTAGTTGTTTATCTAATTTGATTATAATTAGGTATTTAAGTTTACATTAAATATTTTTGAAAGTAATATTAAAAAACCTTAAAGTTTTAATTTTGAACAATTTTTTAAATTTACCAATTTGATGCAAATTTTGATATTTGTTTATCTTGATTTAAATTGTTTTTACTTGAGTACAAAAATGTAAGTACTGTTATTAGGGTTTATACAAAAACCGACAGTTCAGAAAACCGGATTTTGAATAATATTATAAAGGATTAAAGATCTTTAAAACAATTAATTATTCGTTGTTCATGCGTAATTTTTACAAATAAGGGTGTAGTATTATAATATTTTTATAATAGTGAAACGAAGATCGGCTATTGATTTGCAACAATATTTTCATCAACATTCAATATTATTTATTGGTATTTTCTGCTAGAAACCGGTTTTTGAATTCTATTTTTTTTTTTCTGAAAAAAAAAACAAACGATTTTTGGAACCGATTTTTAAAAAACCGACAAAACCTAACTGTGATATATGCACATTGAATTTGTTTGAACTCGTTCATTTCTATTAAAACAAGTTATTATACGTAGTTTTTTTATATTGTAAATCGAGATTAAATGTAAAAATAAAAGTGCATGACAAAATTGTTAACAATAAATTTGCATTTGTTTTAGTATTTGTAACTTTAATTCCAAAGTACCTTCATGTCATCTCTTGTCTAATTTCTTTTATTTTACCTACCAAACAATTTTTCGATGAATTTTAAAATAAAATGCTACATTGCACATTCGTGCGGTGCATCTTGAATTATGAATTAGTTTAATCGATTTTTCTTATCCGATATATGATTAGAGAGCATTTTGCTTCAGCGGCCTAATTTGACTACTGAGACAGCATTTTTCCTTTTAATATTGATCCTGTTGACTGTAATTTTTGAATAAATAAATAGGCAATTTATCATGTTTATGTTTTATTTTTCAATGTAAAAATGCATTGTTAGATGTTGATAAAAGATATTGAGCTTGCATTTGAAAAAAAATCCTAGTTTCTAAATGATTCTCTTGCTCTACTGGTTTACAATTTTCCCAATTATTCGTTACAAACTTCATTGTGTTATATTAAGATAGTGTAATAAAAGATTTTAGCCTTACTGGGCAATAAAGATTTGTCATTCAACGTCGAGCGGTCGGCGAGTACACATCTAGTTGCGTAAAATACCTGATATAAATAATAGATCAACAACAAAGTGTGGTGAGTCACAGGCAACTCGGGCCTGATGACGTTCCGTTATCGGTTTATAGAAATAATACAGTGAGCACAGAGGTCGAGACAGGTATAAAAATTAGTAATGCAGTTCATTTAATTAATAATAGTGATTGTATGGAATATGAAAGTGACGATGGAAGTGATTATAGTGATAGTAGTTTAATGAGTGAAAATAATGATGGTAAAAAAGTTAATTTGAATACTGTAAATAGTGTTAAAAATACTGATATAAGATGTGGTAATAAAAGTGTCAAGATTAGTACTAACAAATTAGATACAAGAAAAGAATACAAAAAAATGGATAAGGTAAATAGATCAAAAATGAGTCCGAAGAAAAGTAACATTAATGAAGGAGTAATTAAAAAATGGTACTGGGAATAAAGGATGATCAGGCAAAGGAAACAAAAAATATCAATGAAAATAATTTAAGATAATAAAAGGAACCTCAGCGGAATTGGAATGATATGGTAATAGAAGAAGAATTAAGTAGTAGTTCTAATAATATAGAAGTTTCAAAAGAAACTAATAAGAAGAAAAATGATATGGAAATTGAAGAAGAAAATAGTAGTAATCCGGATGTTATAGAAGCGGAAAAAGGAAATAGAAGGAATGACAACCACATGGTTGTTGAGGAAAATTCTAACAAGAGTCAGAGTGAATTAAAATTAAATATTGAGAAAAATTACTATAGTGCATTAGATGAAGGCCCATATGTAGTTTATGCTGAATCAATGAATCAAAATTTGGGTAATTATCATAATGTGGCACTGGGTAGAATAATATATAAAATTTCCCCAGTAATAAGTAGAAATATTGACAATTTTACAAAAATAGGCAAAAATAAAATTAAAATAGTTTTCAAAAATTATGAATATGCGAATAAAATAATTAGGGAAGACCTTTTGAACAAGAATAATATAAAAGTATATATCCCTAGACATAAATTATATAGGGCGGGGATAATTTTCAATGTGGATGAAGAAATGGATGAGTCAGAAATTAAGGAAGTAATAAAATCAGATATAGAAATAATTGATGTAGTTTGTATTAAAAAAAGAAACAAAGATACAAATAGTTTGAAATCTCAAATGGTTAAAATTTTATTCAAAGGAAATTACTTGCCTGAAAAAGTATCAATATATTCAGTAAAACTTCAAGTGAGTCCATTTGTACAGAAAGTCATACAGTGCCACAATTGTTGGCGTTATGGTCATATTCGCCTGCAATGTAAGGCCAAAAAAAGATGCCGAAAATGCTCTAGAGAGCACAATGCTGAATTGTGTCACATAGAAAAAGATTTTGAATGCGCTGGATGTCACAAAAATCACGAAGCAAATGATAAAAATTGTGAAGTTTACCAATTTAATAAAAATGTAAAAGAGCTAATGGCTTTTCAAAATATTTCGTACTCGGAGGCCAAATTTATTCTTCGGAAACAAAATTATGCAGAAGTAACAAAAATAAATCACTTCAATCCAGACTTCAAAAAGACATTTCCTAGAATTAACGAAGCAGTTAATTATGGAACAAACATGATAAATAAAAATAGGTATGAAGCACTGAGTAACCTTCAAGAACAAGAAATAAATATTGATCAAAGTAGGTTAATGCTGATGAATAAACCTAGAAGAATTATGGAAAGAAGACAAACTGAAAATGGCAGATATATACAAATGAATAACAGGAATTTAAAACAAACAAGTGGAGAGAGAAATTCACAAAGGCGCGAATATTGCGGCAAAAATATAGAAATAGAAGAAATTAGGAAAATACAAATAATCCATGAGGAGCTAGTTAAAAAACTGAGAGAAAAAATAAGGAACAAAGAGTGTGATGATCTAGAGGAAGTTGTGGTAAAATTTAAAAAGGATATGGATATAATTTACGAGAAGTATAATAGTGTGGAAGTTAGAAATATTAGTGAACAACAAAATAAAGTTGGTTTTGATAATAATAACATAAGTTGAAATTATTAGAAGTAAAAGAAAATTGATAAACGTTTAAACAGTTAAATTCAAATTAAAACCAAATCTATGAATTTCATTATGCATTTATTACAGTGGAACATTAGATCGTTTAATTCTAACAAGAAAGTTTGGAAATCTTTTTATATCAAAATAAAACTGATGTTATATTTTATCAGAATCCTGGTTCAAATGGAACCGACGGTACTATTTAAAAAATTACAATATAATCAGAACTGACAGATATGACGGGAAAGGTGGAGCGGCTATAATTATTAACGAAAGAATTAACTATAAGATTGTAAATATAGATATTGGAGAAATAGATATAAACAAAGTCCAATTATGTGCAATATCAATAATATTAGGAGATAAAAAATATATTTGGTATCAATATATATATCGCCAGGTACACACGTTACGAAACAACAATGGAATTATTTATTTGAGAATATTCCTAGACCGTTCATTATAGCTGGAGATGTAAATGCGCATCACCATTCCTGGGGATGTAACTATAATGATAATTACGGAATGAATTTAATGGAATCAATTGAAGAGTGTAATTTATTTGTATTAAATAATGGTTCCCCAACACTTGTGTTTAAAAACACTAAAACTGTAGTTGATGTTACAGTGTGCTCTTCTGAAATATTTCATTTAATAACATGGAAAGTAATAGAGGAAAATTTAGGCTCTGATCATTATCCTATTTATTTTTATTTGGATATAGTGAAAAGTAACAGGATATTGATTCCCAATAGAAAATGGAATTGTGGTAAAGCTGATTGGCAAAAATATAAAATAATGATTGAACATGAAATATTATCATTGGGCAATCATTTAGATAGTAACATTTATGAAAAATTCACAAATATTATAAATCAAACTGCGGAAAAATGTATACCAATAAATAAAATGTTAACAATATCTCAAGTGAGGAAACCAGTGTGGTGGGATGAAGAATGTTTTAAACTGGTAGAAGAACGAAGAAAAGCAGAAAAGAACTTTAGAAGAAATTCGAGTTTAGAAAATTTTCTTCAGTGTAATAAAATTAAAGCTAAAGTTCGGAAAGAACTAAAAATAAAGAAAAGAGAAAGTTGGTGTAAATTTGTCAACAATCTAAATCCTAATACCCCATCTAAAATTATTTTTAAAATGGTTAAATCGATGAACAATTATATTTCACAGAATGAGAAGAATTCAGAATTGATTAATGATAAAGTAGTGGAAGAAGTAGTTGATAATATTGCGCCCTTTGGAGTGGGTGATGATATTTGTAAATATCTTAAAGGAAATAGAGTAACAGGTTCGGTAGAAAAGTCATTAATTAGACCATTTTCATTATGGGAATTAGAAAAATCTTGGAGTAAAATCAAAGATACTGCTCCAGGATTAGACAACATTCATTATTCTATGTTAAAAAACCTTCCACAGTCCGGAAAAGTAATTCTACTCAAAATTATTAATAAGTATTGGCTGTCACCGAATGAAATTCCTGATTGGAATAAATTTAGAGTTATTTTAATTAAAAAGAAGAGCAATAATTCTGATGATAGCAATGCATATAGACCAATTACTTTGGCGTCATGTATTGCTAAAATAAAAGATAGGATGATAAAAAGAAGAGTCGAGTGGTGGATTGAAAACAATCAGTTACTGCCCAAAAGCCAATTTGGCTTTAGAAAAGGTTTAAGCACACAAGATAGTCTAAGTATATTTTCCACAGACATACATCTAGCCTTTTCAAGAAACACTTATGTCGTTGCACTGTTTTGCGATATAAAGGGTGCATACGATAATGTGGTGCCGGGAAAATTAGCAGAAAGTCTTGTACATGCTGGCTTACCAGAAAAATTGATCAAAGCTATGGTATATACTACCTTTAATAGAGAAATAGAAGTTAAAATAAATGAAAATGCAAGGATTGGAAGAGTTCTTCGACAGGGTCTACTTCAAGGAGCTATCCTTAGCCCTTTATTATATGCTCTATATGTACGGGATATAGAAGGTATATGGTTGGAAGGTACGAAAATTCTACAATATGCAGATGATTTATTGATCTATATTGAAAAAGATAATTTGAAAGAGGCCATCGATATGATGTCTATGAATATGGAATTGCTGCATATTTGGTTGAATGAGAAAGGTCTGGAACTATCAGATGATAAAAGCTCCATAGGAATATTTACGAGGCATTCTAACAAAAAGTTCCCAGCTTGTATTTCAAGTCCATTTAATACAATTAAAATTCATTGCAACAATAAATTCCTAGGTATATATTTTGATCAAAAAATGACTTTTAAATATCATATGAATTATATTAAAAAAAGAATTGAAAAAAAGACCAGTTTAATGAGACTGATAAACAGTACTTGGTGGGGTTCACACCCTATCACATCTATTAATTTATATAAAACCATAATTAGATCAATACTGGAATATGGTAGCATAATTTTTGGACATTCAAATATTGTAAATGAGCTTGAAAAAATTCAATACAAATGTTTAAGATTTTGCGCAGGTATGATGAGATCGACACCAACAAATGTACTGTTATTAGAAACTGGTATTATGCCACTAAAAGTCAGATATGAATGGTTGAGTGACAAATATATGTTGAAAAAAATTAATTTCAATTCATCTGAAATATATGACAAAATTAATGATTTAAATAATGAATGCGAACGTAATATTTATTGGCTGAATAAAAAATACCTATTATTATTCAGAGTTTTAGAGAAGTAATTAAATATCAAGAAAGTATGTATTCATTCAGCATTCATCCTTATTATAATAAAATATATTTTGACAGTTGTATATTTGATAATATTATAAATATCGATTTATTAAAATCTGTTAATAATAATCCAGATGCAGAAGTTATATTTACGGATGGATCGAAGGATATGGACAATGTAGGTTTTGCTATATATAAAGAAACCGATCAAACAAGTGAATGTTACAAGTTACCAGGGTGTGTTTCTGTCTATACAGCGGAGTTATTTGCAATTAAGGAGGCCATAAGAAAAGCTAAAGAACAGAATTATAATAAAACAATTATAATTACGGACAGCATGAGCTGTATCAATAAATTACAAGTGTTTTTTAGAGACCTAAATTTAGAAGAAAAAATTTATTTTGATATCTTGCAAGATTTGGAGAAAATTAAAGAAAATGGAAAGGATATAAGAATAGGATGGGTAAAAGGTCACTCCGGAATTTCAGGAAACGAAAAAGCTGATGAATTAGCCAAATACGCTTGCGTAAAGGGAATGGAATATAACCAAGTATTAAATAAAGATATAATAAAAGTTATGAAAAATAAAGCAGTTAATAAATGGAAAACGGATTGGCAAATAACATCAAGATATAAAGGAAAATATTATAAAGGGGTTAACGACTTTGTTAAAAAGGTACCTTGGTTTTATCAATTCAAAAATGAAGATAGATACTTTATAAGTACGATGAACAGAATAAGGTGTAACCATGGACATTTCCCAGAACACCTGTTCAAAATAAAGATGAGAGAGTCAGCTATTTGTGACTGTGGGAAGGATGTGGGATCTTTGGAACATATAATTTTAATTTGCAGCAGATATCAAGAAAATAGGGATTATTTATTATATGAATTATATAGAATTAAAATTTAGTTAAACCATTTAATTTATTTAGTTTACTGTCAAATATTGATTATTATAAAATTATGTATAATTTTTTAGTTAAATGTAAAATTAGAATATAAATGTAGGAAACTTTGTATATGGCTAGTTTGTAAATAAGAGGCCAAATAAAAAAAAAAAAAAAAAAAAAAAAAAAAAAAAAATAAAGATTTGTAACTTTATTTAGCTTTATATTTCTTTAGGATGTATGCAGTCCAAGCAACAAGAGAGAATGTATTGTTATGAAACGTTTTGTTTCAATTAGGCATTAAATGGGACTACTTTTTTACTAGGAACTAAATTTTCTTATCTCACAAATTTAATTCTTAGGCGCGTAAATATCTCAATTATATTTCTTAGACGCGTAAACATCTCAATTATATTTTCTATCTGAATGTAGATATTATTAGATCCAATAAAATGGTCGATATATAATTATAGTATTCAAATTAATTGATACGTACATGAAATGGTGCAATTCACAATAGTATAACAATACTGGTTCACTTTCGGAACTATCTGGAATATATTATATACTTGAACTTTAAAGACTGGAAACTTGAACTATTCAAATACAGTAACAGATTTTCACGAAATTCAGTGGAAAATCAATAGCTAAAACATGAAGATTCAAGTCGGTTATTGCTCCTAAGAGATCAGGTCAAGAATTCTGGAATTGTGCCAAAACCGTCTTGGCAAAAAGAGAACTCTCTTGATGAGCAAATTGTATCACGATTTGTAAATAATATTAATAAAATACTTCATTTGGAACTCCAACAAAAAAAAAGTGCAAGTGCAAATAGTGCAAACTATATAGTGCAAGAAAAACCAAGTTGGTTTCACATTGCAGAAAGTGTGTTTTCTAATATTATAGAATTTTTCTGTAATATAAACCTATATATATATATATATATATATATATATATATATATATTGATTTTATTAATTATACTGTCCAAACAAAATGAACTACATTATAACACATAACGCGTACCAAACAAGCAAATATCAATCTATGTTCAATCTATGTTAAATCAATGTGTTTTTTTACTATTTTTCTAATATTTGTCATTTGTTCCTTTTTACCACATAGGCTGTAGGTAAAAAGGGACAGGTAGAGAGCCAACATATCCAATGTTTGAATTTTAAATTTGAATGAATTGTACGAAATAATAGCTATTTTTTCAATCAATGTAAAATATAAATTTGAATTTTGTATTTTGTCAGAAATATTTAGCACTAGAGGTCAATTAACTATAATTTAATATTTATATCTTTTTCAAAATTGCCTTTTTTAGCTTTTTTATGTACTATTTTCGTATTGTTTACACCTTTGCTAGGGTAAAGTTTCAATTGGTCATTTTTACTCCACACATATGTAAGCTTGAACCTAACTTAAAAATATTAACACATCTTTTAAATCAATTAAATAACGTATGCTTCAATATTATATTAAGGTGTCGTAATAAACTAAACAACAGTGCCCACAACGAAAAAAAACTAACAACGCAAGAAAATACTTTTGTTTTGTATTTTAATCTTTGCCGTCTATCTTCTGATAGCGACGTCAAACGAATCAAGGTGATGGCTGGTAATATATTTTTTTTTACCTAAACTTTCAAATATTTTAATAAAATTTTAACTTCACTTGTTTTTGAGATAGTGGACTTTTTTACCCTCAGCCCTTTAAGCCTTGTTTAACCCTATAATATATATATATATATATATATATATATATATATGTATATATATATATACATATATTTACATATAAAAAATAATAAAAGAATAAATTAGGAAAAACGAATATTTGGTTTTCTTTTTGTGACAGCAAAATACAGAGAATTGAAAACTGATGCGGAGGACGCGGATGCATGGAATAGATCCCAGAGAATCAAAATTTGAAAGTAAAAGTGAAATGTGTGGGCAACATATTGTTTTCGCGGCCTTATTATTAATAATAATATGTAATGAAGACCTATAACGCCACCGTGTATGGCTTACTTTACACGACTGGAGAAAAACAACTCGATTTACAGGAAAGCTCGCTCCATTGTTCGTTTTCAATTACGTGCGTCACTTCTAAGCTCAATCTAGTAAAACGATTGTGCTTGTGTACGACTTTTAGTCGCTTTATTTAAAATGCTTTTCAAGACCTGAGAAGAATCTTTTGCAGAATGCTTTGTACAAAGTTGCACTAAAATGAAGATAATAATGAATTGAGTTTCTATTCAAGTAAATAAGATGCGCATATTTCGAATTGACCTAACTGTATTTTAACTTTTTAACTTTTCGAAGGAGAATTTTGTTTTCGCCAAAAAATCCGATTTTTTATTTTCTCGTAGAGTAAGTTATAGTAATCGCAAAAAAATCGAAAATGAAATTTTGTATATTTTATATATTTACGTTTCAGAAGTTTCTGAACATTTTGGAATACCTTATAAAAATTGTTGTATGTGTTTGTGTGCAGATACAAATTTTTGTCGACTATTTCGGAAACATGGTTCAACCGATTTAAATAATTGAAAAAACATTCGATTCCTGCTGATAAGGAGACGTGCTGATTAGTTTTTGGCAAGAGCCCCGCTTTGAAGATACGGGGCAAAAAGAGCCATAAATGGTAATTTATTTTGAGAGAACGGAGCGTTCGATTTTAATAAGCCAAAAATCATTTTACTTGTATTGACAAAATGAACAACTGATTAAATTTTTGGGAAGGCAGGTCTACCAATCTCGGAGATCAGCTAAAATAAGTAAAAAAAATGTTATTTTGGCGTCACAAATTATCATTAGACATATGCACATCAATTTATCTTGAAATTAACTTTATTTCTATGGATTCCATACCAATGTTTATTCGTCAAACTGCAACGTGGCGCTTACGCGCTTCGATATTTCTTGTCTGAAAAAGACACAGCACGATTGCTTTGAAAAGAGTTCAAATTTTTCCAAAAATACCAAAATATGAAAAAAAATTCAACTGTTTCGAAAAAATATTATTTTTTATATTATAAAATTATCTAAAATCTCATTTTTTCCATTTTTTTCCATAAAAGATAATTTTAAGAATTTTAATTTTTGTTACGGGAAGTTCCACCAATTTTCCTTATGGCACGATGCCATGCACCACTAGTTAGTTTCTTGTTTTTTCGACGTTACAAGTTGTTCTGACTGGAATGAGACCGAATTTGGAAGAAGTATGTGTGGTCGTGTGCAAAATTTCTCATACTACTACTTATACTTATCTGAAACATATCAGATTGCATTTTTTGAAGCAATATTTTTTGGTTTTATTGTAGGTTTACGAATAGTGTTGATTTCTAAAAGTTCATCAAAATTTGGAAAAATGCGCTGTATCACAATTTCCAAATACTATCCGTCATTATTTTAAATGTTGCTGTCTAATTAAATTGACTATTAACACATACCGGGATGTTTTTACAACTTGCTTGAAGGCAAAATGCTACTTACACTTAGTCAAGTAAATTTATTGTTATAAGGATAGCTTTATATGCAAACTGCCGGTTTATTTTACATTTACGGTGACTATAGTTATGTACGTTTCTCATATACCTATAATAGTATCCACTATCTCGACCGAGCGCACCCTTCAATTTGCGAATGGGCAAGTGACTGTTTGCGATATCGAAGGTCTCTTTAAGAATAGCAAAGGTAAATACTTGAATAAATATTTTTATCAGAAATGGTATTTTCTATTCCAGATTTTCTTAGAACCGACATGTTGTGATACAAGAAATTCTAATACAGGATATATAACAATCCTATTGGTCCTATGAATTACACATATACATTTGCATATACATACTCACAAGCACGTTGTATGTATGATAAATCTATATATATATATATATATATATATATATATATATATAATATAAAGTGTCCCAAACCTTGACGTCAAGCCGAAATGGGGTGATAGAATTGATCTTAACTGTACTAAAAAAATAGAAAATAAATTATCTCACGTTGTTCGAACATTATGACTCTCGAGGGTATGCCCAGCTAATAAATATATTTATTAATAAGATGTAGGGCAATACATGACGCAGATGGAAAACAATTATAACATTTGTTATAATAAAAAAATGGTATTTTTATATGTGACTTTTATTCCAATAAACCTAAACTAAACTAGATCCAGATTATTCATTATTTTCATTTTATCTCAATGGTGTTCGGTGTTCTGCTTCGTTTAGTCATAGAAAATATGCCAACCATCCATCTCTCATCTTTTTAAAGTAAAATTAGAAATTTATCAAGAGCTTATGTGGAACAAAAGGATTTGCATGCGTTAGCAATTATGAGACCATTTTTCGGTTTTTAATTTGTTACTCGAAATTTTTCAATAATAAAATTATCAAGTATTTTACTATTTTACAATTCTGATGAAAGCAACCCCAACTTTGATGAAACTTGCCAACAAACTTTAGTATGTTTTTTTTAAAGAACGGCTTCTCAAAATCGATGGATTTAAAAAAAATTAAATTTATGGTTCAACAAAAAATTCTAATTCTTGAAAAAATGGGACAAAGATGGTTATTTTATTCAGGGTTACGATTCCAAACCCTGTATCATTGTGTAATTTTGTTTATGAAATTTAAGCCTTCTATATTTTAATTTTTTCTAAAATATAATAGGTTTCGGAGTTTATATTGAATTCACTTTTACGTAAAATATGTTACTTTTCATGTGAAATAAGTTGGATTTTCAATTTTCTATTAATTAAATTTGGG